GCCCGCGTACTCCCCGGCTTTGCTCCCCATCTCCCTGGTCTGGGGAGATGTGGAGCAAAGCCGCGGAGCACATGGGCAGCGGACAGCCCAGACGCGCCGCGGCTGTCCCGCTGCCGGCGTCCTCAGAGGCTTTGCTTCCCGTCTCCCTGGTCTGCTGGTCTCCAGCAGACCAAGGAGACGGGCAACAAACCCTGTTCGTAACTGCGGATCCGACATAAGTCGGAGCCGCGTAACTCGGGGACTGCCTGTACTGATCTTCTGTATGCTGTTTAGCTTGGAAAAAATGGAAAACTTGACCACTTTCCACATTGCCTACAGTTCATCAAAATGATTGCTGGCATAGATCCACACTATAGGAGAGGTACAATGTCTTGTGTGCATGAATTTGGCACTAGGGAAGAAAAATGTTAGTCCTGCTCTAAGGAGAAAGTGGATTCATCTGAAGAATACTAAACAGGCAAAACTTTGTCTGAGTTCATCTGAAATGCTCCTCTCTGAACAATAAGGTCCACAGATCCATTGCAGTGGGATTCCAGCCTAATCAGCCTAATTTTCCATTTGAAAGCCAAACCAGACCTGTCAGTCCCTGGAAGGAAATCATCTCACTACTATATAGCAAAAAATCATCAAATGGTCAATAGAATAATACAGAATTCATTTCAAGAATAATTATTTATAGAACTCAAAGCTTAAGCAAAATTCTCAGTTTATTAATTACTTTGAAAATCAGGACCAATGCCTTAAATTGGCATTGAAAGCTGACCAGGAGCCAGGGGGATAGCCTTGTTCCCCGCTTGTGCTTGTGCTCACGCTCACAACAGCTTCAGCCATGGAACAGGTGAGCAGATCCTTCCTGTCCCACCTGGAACCTGTTTTGTCTGGATGCAGCTTGGAAGTGACAAATGCAGAGATCACTGTGACCACTCATCCCAGAATAAGGGATATTTCCTGAGAAGTCCAAAGTCATTTTTGGAAACTGATGCTTCCTGGTCATCCAAGCTTAGCAAGGAGTACAAGGCCTCCTATTAATCTGTTAGCCGGGGGATTATACACTAATGCACCTCTTCCACGTTAAGGGTCAGATAAGAACTAGGCGTTCAATTTGAACTTTCAATAAGTATAACAAAGACCTAATGACCACTCCTATGATGCATGCTACCCATCCTCCCTCAATCCACTACTTTATAAACTTGAAATCTCTCTGGCTCTTCTTAGGTAGTTTAGGCCTTTTGCCTCACCCAGATGACAGAGAGAGGATTAAAGAAGACTGTAATATACACTGTATCAAGGAGTGGGTCTAAGGCAACGTGTCCAAGGAGGAAATGTGAGGTAAAGAAAAAAAAAGTCTGTTTATTCACTGAAGGAAATAGAAACATTAAGGTAAGTCATAGTTCATCCTTTTTTGTGTTACCCACCATGAGGGTGAGAAGGAATACCAGACACTGAAGTTTATTTAACATGCTTTTGGCAGTCTAATGATATACGAGACCGGGTGTGTGTTAAAGAGACCATGGGGTCCCCTGGTTAGCCTGGCTGCCTGCAAAGGGTCGGTAATGTGAATTCTGTTTTCCTCCTGGTCTTGTCCATTACATACTGCTCCATAAAGGAAAGCATAGTCTTGCTGAAACTACACACAAAGCAGGACTTTTCCCCTGTCACAGAGTAAACCTGATAGCACACTTCTAATAATTCTGGAACAGAAGATTAAAGATTTTTTTTCCCCCCCTTCATTTTCTTCTCTGCAGCAGAGTGTCTAAAACTGCCAGCAGTAGTGCAAGTACAATCATAAGAACTGACTGGTTCTTCATCAGCTTGGCCATACATCTTCCTTCCAGAGACTGACAGGATTGGTTCTGCCTTCAATATTATAAATAGGTGGATGACTTAATATAACAGATCTGTAGAGGATGCGCAATTTTAATTTGACCGTCAAATTAAATTCCCAAAAAACCTCTTAAAAACCCTTAGAGAGCACTGAAGAAGAGTATACCAATGCTGACAATAAAGAAAGGTAAGATTAACAGCAGCATCTTCATCTTCCCATTACACTGACGTTAAAGAGGGCTGGAGGAGGGAATTGCTGGTGAGAAGGCACTGAATCTGTTTTTGCCTTTTAAGCAAAAGAGATCTTATTAAGTGTTTTTCTCTCTTTCCTTCCACATGACTGTCTGTGGGCTTTTTGAGACATGGGCAACTGAGCCCAAGTAGCTCAACAGATCTAAGAAAATTTTATTCCTTATGGGTGGACTTATCTCTGGAGGGACCCATCAGCAAAGAGTAAGTGAGTGCTACCTTTCCTAATCCATGATGAACAGAAATATTTGCAGTAAGTGATCTCAATGTGGACCTTGCACCTTCCATCCCTGGGAGTAGCAAGGAAAAAGGGGCAAGGCCATTGTGGGAAGGCCCACAAATACATCAAATTAAATGCCATTTAAAAGTTTTATTTTTATTGTATATACATGTTTGCTTATAGTTAACTTTCCTGTAAAGGAGGAAAGGGCCTCATAGGGAAACACTGCAAAACTCAGCTGGATGGTTAGAAATATCTGGAGGAACTAAGGATATAGGCAGGAATCATATGCAATCCCACTGGACACTTGTTCTCTAGAAATTTCTGCATTTACCTCCCACAATATCAGGTGTACCACCTACACTGTGGATCCATGTAGGCAATGCTAAAAAGCTGGTTGGTTTTATTTGTTTCTAGACAGCTGCACTTTCTGGTTCTTAAAAGTACAATTATAATTACACAACATTCAGGTTGCAAATTCTACAGATGCCTTTATAAAGCCAACTTGACAACAACCACACAGTCACACTAGAATTTTTGTTAATTTTTAACCTATTTTTTAAAATATAAATCTGGATTGCCTGTGTCTTTAATAATGGAATGCGTGTGTAAGTGTTTAAAGCAAAAAGTTCTAGTTACCACTGCTACCACAGGATAGAGGTTTGCCACATATTCTTCCACATGATGGGATGGGATCCGTGCAGAGTTTACGCTCAATATAGCCTAGTTCTAGTAATCTGCTAAGAGGAGTCTGCCCACAAGGACAGCAGTGCACTACTTGGGGAAGTCGTGGACAAAGCTGGCAAGGCTCAGGATGGCATATTTGTGTACAGCTGTGCCTTCCACAACTTAATTTTCTAAAAAAGAGACATAGAAAGAATTATAAGTATATTCAGAGTCACTGACTGTTAAAATGACATGATTTTTCCTTTAGGTTTTGGAGAGAAAGAGGCCCTTACTTGCCACATATCTTCTGGCATGAAAAGTTTCCAAATCCATCAGAGAACTCTTCATTTGTTCCACACAATACATCTCGAAAGGTACTCCCACAGTAGCAGACTAAGGGAGAATAAGAAAAAAAAGATTATTACCACAAACTACATACAAGGAACACTGAACATGCAGAACAATACTACATTTGAAACACTGAACATAAATATTCAAAACAACCTTTAAAAGTGTACTTTAGTTGCATTATTTAGACTGTGTGCAGGTCTGTTGCTATATAGAGGCTGTCTATATTTTTTCCTGTTAGTGCCTCTTGCTAATAAAAGTGACACACAATAAAAAGGACAAACTAGTAGGGCAAATGAAGACTTAATCAGTATAGCAACACTTGACATTTTAAAAATGAAAATTAATTTTGAATGAGAACTTTTCAAGCATTTACTTTGTAAATATCATAAAAACACACCAATATTATTATGCTTTTGTACAACATAGGAACCATAAAAGATATCAGGACGGAGGTAAAATACTTTTAGTTATTTGAAAATTGTAGGTGCCTTATTTAAGTGTATTTTTGTAAAAGTTTTATGTTACTTTTCAAACCACTGATTTTAAAAGTCCTAGGAGTCGCACAGAGGTAAGATTTTTCTATTCAAGATTAATATTTAGAATATCTTGTTACTTGGTATATCTCCCATTTTGACCTACAGAAACCCTAGCAGATAATTTTTTTAAAAGTAAAATAAATAAAATTAAGTTCTGTCTGAAGCAAGATTTTATTGAAATCTGGAAGTAATCTCACTGATAAAAGATAAGCATGTGTTCAGTCTTTAGATGCAAACATTTTAGCTCTACTCACACAATTTACAGAACTACTAATTGATAGAATTTGTCATGATAGCAAATCCAATTACAAAATTAATTAAAAGAGACACAACACCAACTCCGAATTAAGCTGCCATTACCCATTACAGAAAATTTTTCTTTTCTTGGTATCATTCAATTTCACATAGAACACTAAAATTTGGCAAGGGGATAGTCCTAGGGCAGGCTGTGCTTGACCTTAATGAAAATATCTTTTAGGTTCCAAAGTAACAAAGTAAGGATGCTTAAGCAACAGCAGTACAGATATAAGTTCAATCACAAAGTTAAACAGGTAACAAAATGGGTTAGAGGACAGTACAAAAATACTGACTATAGTAGTCTAGATTTATACAAAGAAAACTCCTGTCTCATGAGTTAAAATGCTTGTTGGTAGAGGATTAGTGTACCCTTGGGGAAAGGATGATGTTACTTTTCAAGCAAATAGATAGTTTTCCCTAAAAAGCTGGATGCACATTTTATCATACAGTATCATTTTAAAACCTTTTTACTTTCCACATCTTTGGGGCAAGTTGTCTTCTTTTGTTTCCTTCCCCTTATTCTTTTGTGCTCATCCCTAAAATTGGGGCCAGCAAGACAAACTGGTTTACCTCACCATCACGTGTTCATCATCACTGCAATATTAAGTAAGAAAAGCAACTGCCACAATGTAAGCAGAGGCAGAATGAAGACTGGCTGTTGACCACTCTCTGGCTGCTCTACCTGCTCCACTCTTGTCCACACTTTTTGGAGGCCCACAACAGGAGAAGGCAGGCTGGCTCAATTTCCCCAGCTGTAGAGCCCTCAAGATGCATGGAACAAGCTCCATAGTGCCACTATTTAAAAAAGATGAAAATAGCTCTGTCTCCACCTTTAGCACCATAAATATATTTTTCCACTGTATAGAAAACTAGGCTGTGTATGTGCAGTCTTCCTTAGATGTTAATTTTATAAACTTAGTAGAAAATCAGTCTTTAAATTATTCTTCATATACTCAGACTATAATTTTAAAAGACTCATAACACAAAACCCAATTTCACTGGAACAAAAGCATTCTCTTTATAGGAGTTATTTCCAAATTAATTGTAAACTTCCTACCAGTTTTACCACTGAAAATCAAAATAATACTTCCATGTTTTGTTTTTTAATTTTGTTTTTCCCCTTGTCAAAAGTAACTTATTTTTTGCTTAAAAACTTTCCACAAGGTATTTATCTTCAGGTAAAAATTGAGCCTCAAAAAATGCAATCCCAAAAGGTGAAATTCAAAATGTTAAGCAACTGAAAAAGGTTATAAAACTATAGCAGTCACACTCCCATTATACTGGAAGAGACCCTATGTACTACCCAAATTTTAGATTAAAGCCCAGCCGGTGAAGTACCTAATTCCAGGTTTCACCATAACAAGAAAGATCTTTATATAGCTGCATCAGCAAAAGGACAAACATGGGACCTGTTTTTAGGGTATCTGGGAATGAGTATTAAATTATTTCAGTATTCAGGAAATAATCACAGAAGTGCAAGGTTTAAGATATATTTGAATATATTAATAACAGCATAGATAATTTATTCTTACCTATTTTAAAATTAAATGCAACTTCAGCAGTAATTAAAAAAAAAACTTGATTTAAAGATTATCTGTTATTTTGCTCACTACTATACTCTAATTTATTGGCCAACTTGTCATTAGCTACCTTAAAGAAATTAGAAAACACCTCTACTGAACATACAAATCTAAAGTACATTTCCACTTTTCTGATACCTACCTTGCTGTACTGTAAGCTGGCAAGGATGACATTTTCCCACATGGCACACCCGGGCACAAGTATGCCTACCACAATTTAAAGTAGTCCCGCATACATTAGAACAATGAATTGTGGTAGACTGGCCACAGCGAACTGAATGACTGTAGATAAATAGGATACTGTTGTTAGTATAATATATTTTAATTAGATTTAAGGATTTAACATATTTGAAATACAAATAACCCCTTTCCAATATATGGTGCAGCATTCAAAAATTAAGTTCTATTTGTTAAGGTCAGACATAATTCTGATCAAGAGTAATGCTATGGTCTTAGACTCCTCACACATCACAACATAAAGAAAAGAATTTGACATCACACTAATGAGGTGCAGTGTAGTATTTAAACTGCAGAATATGATTTTGCAATTGACTCAATAGTCTGGGGACAACAGTGCATTTATTACCTTAAGATACTTTGATTTATTTTAAGTGGGGCCTTAACTCTGAATTTCCTGAGTTATAACCCTTAGTTTTGGGACTGAGACAGCATCACTGTGTAGCCGATAGGCATAAGTATTTTCTAGTTAAAGCACAGACATAAGTTAAGACATAAAGCAATGAGCCTACAGGTCTATATCCCTGCAAAACATTAGCTTAAACAGTTAGTATAATGCTTTGAGACCTACGGCCTTAGCAAGAGCAAATTTCCAGACAGTAACTTCAAGTTTTAAGGGAACTGGGAAAGATGTGCTTACAGGGGAAGTTCATATAAAATGATATCATATATCTGCAAGAACACTAGTTTGATACCAGGCTTGGATATTTTAGAATATAGTGTTGGCCATACCAGGTCACTTATAAGTCAGTTTTGCTAAGAATAGATATTGGTCTTGTAAGAATTAATTTAGACTCTATGAAATAAATGTCTGTATGTTGCTGCATGTATCAGTCTCACTTATATCTATACTCCATGTTAGAAGGTAATACTGAAGTGTTTGCTCTAACTGCAAACTCCCAGCCCCTGCCAGTCAGGGGAGAAACATTACTAAATATAAAATACTAGTTCGCCACAAGAAGTGTTATCTATTGTTCAACAAAAAAAGGCCCATAGGCCCCAGACAAACCACTATGGAACATGAAAGGACTTCTTTTTATTGCTCCCCACTCACTCCTTGAACTCTGGGCCAAGGCAATACAAATCCCTGTCAAGAAGAAACTGCATCTTTTTGGCTGTCCAAACTCTGAGGGTCCCTAGAAGACTCCTGGGTTGGCCCTGAAAGACACACCACTACAACTCTGACACTCTCAGGAGCTGTCTTGCTTTAACTTGTAATAATTGTCTTACTCCTTTTTCCACCCTTGTTAATAAACCTTTCAATAGTTTATTACAGGATAGGCTACAGGCGTTGTCTTTGGTGCAAGATTTAGGGAACCCAGATAGGTCAAGAGTATTGCAGGGCCTGGGTAAGGTATAGGAGGAGCCAGCACCAAGCTCTGAGAAGGGGTGGAGTGCTCTGGTGGCAATTTGGAAAACAAATGTAGCCATAGAAGCAGGCAGCAGCTGGGATGCTTGGGCCCTTCTCAAATGCCAGGTCTCAGGGCAACTGCCCCCTTTCACTTCCCCCCAAATCCCCACTACTTTCTCTGAAGATCTGACGATGTGGTCAAACAAGCTCTGGGGTTCTAAAACTACAAGACTTTTAGTAATGAATTAACAACAGAACCAAGATCAGGGCTTCGTTATGATTTTTTTTTACCAGAACTATTGAAATGCCAGAGTATACTTTAACGTTTATCTACAACTTTCCTAAAATCCTAAAAATTCCTGTATACTTTTTGTTTCTCATAGAGAGTCATTACAAGATCTTAGTAATGACTTTTTGTTAAAATATGGCATTATTTGAATTTTTAAAAACCAGTAACACATTTTTTGCCTCAATAGGAATTTTTAAGACTTTTTCCAGGATATAGAGTTGTAGTTCTCAAACTGAGTGGAGTAGCCTGAGCTGTCAGACTCGCCAGGGCCAAAGTCCAAATGTAAATCCCACCACCTGTGGCCAGAGCTCAAGTGCTTCAGCCCCAGTCAGTGGGACTCAAGTTACAGGCCACATGCCTGCAGCTGAAACTCTTGGGCTTCAGTTCCCCCTGCCCTAAAGAATGGGGTTCAGGTGGGCTCAGCCTTCAGTCCCCACTCCTGGAGCTATGTAGTAATTTTTTTTGTCAGAAGGGGGCCATGGTGTACTAGAGTTTGAGAACCCCTGGTTTAGAGCAACATGTTTACATTAACTCAAGGTATCTCAAATTACCTTTACAAACAACATTTAAGATTACTATAAATTTAGAAAAACAATTCTATTTCATGTTTGTACATATGACAGCGCTTCATACATATCAATCAATTTCAGCTTCCATTCCATTTTTGTGGGTCTCTCTCAAAAAAAAGGAAAGGAAGTTTTAAAATATATGAAAATGTGAGTGTAAGTTGCCAACAAGATTCAGTTTCAGGTACTACATCTCTCCCCATTTAATTTTGTTAAGAAAAGAGTATATTTGAAATATACTGCATCTAGTTTTCAGCAAAGTTTTAAGACACACCATTGGACATTCCCAATACATAGATTGGGAGCATATCTCAAAGAATGGAAACTTATTACAACTTGTATTTATAAAATTCCCCATTTTTATTTGTAAAATAAAACTCTCTCACCTTGTTCGCCCACATTCACATGTTTTGGTCATAAAGGCAGGACACGATGGGCAAGGACCCGGATGGCAGAGGCTTAAAAAAAAACATTTTAATAAGTAACAATGTATTAACCTTTACACTTATTTAATTTGGCAGAGACAGGAAGTTTCTATAGTCTGCAGTGTTATAAAAGGCCTGTAACTTTAAAAACACAACAGTACATTCTCAGAACATTTGTGTATATTTATTCTTAAAGTGTTTACAAAGTTATACTTACAGAAAAAACGTAAGTGACAATTGAGGACCTACACCACACACCCAAATCCTTGAGAACATGGAAATAAGTTAAGGGCAAGGTTTGCAGCATTCTTTGCCACCTTTACATCCACTAGAACATCGTTGATAACACACTTCAGGACTCTCGCAAAAGTTTTGCCTATCTTTCAGATCTTCAAATCTGCTGTTCTGTGATACCCCACCTTCATAACATTTTAGGCATTTAGCATATATTTGGATAAAGTTTTCTTTCAGACTCCACAGTTGTTTTTAACTCTAATATTTATCTTTGAGTACGAGTGTACTGACAAAAGACCTCAGTCACTGGCAGATGTGATTGAACCTGCGATCTCTGAAGCTTAGTGTATGAGACTATCACATCGCAGTTAATAGGGCCCTACCAATTTAACAGTCATTTTTGGTCAATTTCATGGTCATAGGATGTTAATCCTAAATATCACTGTTTCCACTATATAAATCTGAAATTTCAAAATATTGAAATTATAAGGGTCCTGTCCCAAAAAGGAGATATGTGGAGGGGGGGAGTAGACCCACCAGCAGCAGCACAGAAGGGTGCCATGGTACAGCACTGGGGGTGGGAGGAGAAGCTAGTGGCGCCTGGGGAGAAGGAGGGAGAAGCCAGCCTGGTGCGCCTGCATTAGCCCCACTCTCCAGGCTGGTGCCTCTGATAGAAAGGCGGCAGTGTAAGGGGGCAAGTGGCTTGGAAACCAATATGTATGAGGAGCCAGCTTTTAAGCCAGCTCTCTGCGAATACGAGCTCCTGCCTGCCCCCCTCACCATGTGCACTGCTGCCTCTGACAGAGGCAGCAGTGTGGGGGGTGGGTCAAGTGGCTCCACAGAATTCAGTGCTCAGGGGGACTAGTCTTGAAAGCCAAGTCCCCACAGGTACTGGCTCCAGCCTCCCCTCCCGCACTGCGTATAATAAAGAGGCTGCAAGGGGTGGGGCAAGTTCATATAGTCAACAGGATTAACCAATAAATCCAGGTGTATCAATTAATCATGTATGTGACAACACATTGACATCCCTACCTGCTAACTCCTCCTAAAATAACCATTTAACCCCTTGCAACTGCCTTTCAGATCAGGACTCCCAGTTTGATGAACTCTGGTCACCGCCATGAGAATGCCCCATCCTAGCAGGCATAGTTTACACTGATATTGAAGAAAAGAGTGATTGCAGACTGCGAACATATCTAGTCTAGCTTGAATCTAACTCACTCATGGCATAACTAAAAATAGCAGTGAAACCATGGCAGCACAAACTTCAGCAGACAAAGAATGTATAAAACCATCTGGGATCCTGGGTATAGTCTTACGTTTCTACCCTGCAATGAAGCTCTTGCTACCATAGTTTTACTGTTATTTTTAGCTGTGCTAGCTAGATTAAAGCTTGTGTAGGTATGCCTACACAAGCTGCAATCACACCTTTGATTGGAGTGTACATCCTTTGTGAAATCTGTCTTTTCCTTAAAGACTCATTTAGCTCAAAGACTAATAGTGGATTCTTTTAAATCCATAAGTCCAGGATTCCTTTCCATACAGGTGACCTGATTAGAGGCACCATTACACAATATGTAGCTACTAAAGGAGAACAAAAAACCATGTCACCATTATAAACTGTACCCATTCTTTGGCAGGGTCTTTATCATTCTGAACTGAAGTTCACAGCGCTTTAAATCCTATAAATAGGTTTGGAAGGATTAGATTTTATTTGTAAATTTCAGATAACATTGATTATATTGTATTCACACAAATGGATGAAAAATATTTCCTTCATAATTGAAATGTACAGACATTTACGGTAAAAAACGCTGAGAATTTAGTTTGATTTCATATTTCTTGTATATATGAACATGTGATCTTTACAATTTGCTTGAATTTCAAGACCTTCTTTTAGTAAATAATTATTACTGACCAAGTCCTCACTAGCAAGATGGTTTATTAGGTGATCGTCACCTAATAAACCATCTTGTTAGTCTTTAAAAGTGCTACATTACTGCTTTTTTTGTTTTACCGCAATCAGACTAACATGGCTACGTCTCTATCTGACCAACCTATTAGTTCCTGCAATGGTGAAAATTTAAATAAAATAAAAAAAAGTTTTAAAATCCACAATTTTGCACAACCATGAACATTTAAAATCAATAAAAATAAACTAGCAGGCTGTGCCCCCTGATTGCTGTGCTCACCAACCCCCCTGTTGTGGGGACAGGCAACCCTGGCTCTCCCCCCACCCATCTGGGAGGGCCAGGCTGTGGCCGTGCCAGTCAGGGCCCCCTTCTCCCCAGGTCTGAGCCATGTTGGGCCATATTTTCCCTCCGGCCATTGGAAAGGGGAGGGGAAGACTGGGGCCATAGGCAGCCCCAGACCTCCATATGGGCCCTAGGAAGGACCAGGCTGGGGATGGGTGGGGCATGTTCCTGTGGAACACAGAGTGACATGACGACGTCATTCTGTTGTCCCACAGGAAGAAACTTTATAGATATAAAAAGCCCAGATTTTAAAAGTTCAGCCCAGGTTGCCTGTAAAAGCATCTGCAGATACAGAAACAGCATTCTCTGAATCTAAAAACATGAGTCTCTACTACTTGAATTAAAGAACCAGGTGCAGACTCAAGCTACTACTTGCGGTCTAAAAACTAGTTAGGGTGGGTTACAACATTTTTTTCTAAAGTTCTCTTGTGTATCTGATGTACTATGTTCTCCTAATCCCTCTGCCATTGTAGAGATAATACTAATGCTATAATTATAGCTTATGTCCTCAGCAACACTGTGTCAACATTAACTCTCATCACTAACCACTATCTGTTATCAGTAACAGTGACAATCTTGAATAAAAGCGAGCAGTCTTTGTAGCACCTTAGAGATGATCTCTCTCTCTCTCTCTCTCTCTCACTCACTCACACACACACACTCACACACATATATATATATATATATTTAAAGACATACTGCAATCTTTACCAGGAACTTTTCTAAAGTATTCAGAAAAGTTTCCACTTAAAACGTCAGATAGCAGGAAAAAATGTCACGTGGCACATTTTAAAAGGTCATAACTAGTCTTGTTACATTTCATCACTACAAATCACCAGAAAAAAAAAATCACACTGTACAGTATGAATATGGCCTTGATCTTCTGCCTCAAAATCTTCATTCTCCTTTTTCACCATACTGAAGTTGAAATTCCAACACCTTTCTCTATTTCCCGACTATAATTGAAGTATTCACCACAGTGAGTATCACAGCTCAGGCTCTAATTCAAGTCTCCCTCCTTCAAAACTTTGTGAAAAATTCTCTTTTGAGGCTCACTACTTTTCATATTTTGATTTTCTCCAAAGGGGAGGTGTTTTATAAAATTTGAGGAAAAGCCTTTTACTTATTTGAGTTACTAATAAAAAAGAAACACTATGCACATTTCGTTCATAAAAAGTGATACTTTCTCATGGATAATTCAAAAATAGGCTATCAGGAAAAAAATTAACATTTCAAATATGGTGATCATGCTAGTTTTTCCCCAGGATGAGGAGAGACACATGCTGAACAGCCTGAGGGCAGAGGAAGGAACCATGAATCAGCTGCACTGGAGCTCTGACATGTCTTTGAAGGGGACACAGGTTTAGAAACTTGCCTGCCTATGAGAAGGCTGTGGATACCACAAGAAACTAAGGATGTTAAAATGCAATTATCTGGCTAATTGTATCGTGCTGCTATGCAGAGCTACAGCGGAGGTAGCTCTAGGAGATGGCTCCAGAGCCACCCACGCTGCTGCTCTACATTTTAAATGTAGCAAGAGCTGCTGAGCAGGCTGCTATGCCGATGCTGAAGAAACCGGCTTTTAAGACAACTCCCCCCAGCACCGGCTCCTATGCCTCCCCTTGGTGCCTTTCAGAGGCAGCAAAGAAGTGGGGAGGTGGGCTGCAGAGGGCACAGGGTGAGCAGGGACTGTTTGAGACCCCACTCACCCTGTGCTCCCTGTGGCACTTCTGCTTTTAAAATGTACAAGAGTCCCACAGGGCTCTTAAACATTTCAAAAGGAGAAGCACCAGCAGTGGGAACTGGCACCAGCAGGGACATTAGTTAATACTTTACTTCAACAAACTTCATTTTAAAGTAACATGAGAAAGTTAAAACGCTTCATCCGTTTAATAATTTAAATTAAACCATTCTCTCTAGCTGGAGCACTAGCAAAATGGCCCAGGAGAATTGGTGGTCTGCAGAAACGTTTTCATTGAGCCAGGTGGGCTATGGGCCAAAAAGTTTGAGAACCACGAGCTAGGTGACCATAATTGCCCCTTCTGGCCTTACAAAAGTATGAATGGGTACTAAGCTAGTTATACACTGTTAAAACAAGTAGGGAAGACCTCTAAACAAAGCTCTTTACTTTGCACTTCTATATTAGTGTTTATTACTTTTTCTTGTTTTCATTATTTACTACTACTACTTCAAATGCCTGATTCAAGGTTAGAGACCCACTGGCCATCTTTTCTCACTTTAAGGGAAAACAAACCTGCAGCTATAACTGATCACTATATTACCAAGCTACAAAATGTATTTTTCAAAGCAGTTTTAAAAAGTGAAAAAATTTAGAGACCTACCTACTAAGTTTGTCTTTAACACAGTAAACAACACACAGTGGTCAACATTTTTAAGTGTATGATTATTAAAAAAAGTTAAAAGGATGCATAATCTTTAACCTTAGTGGCAATACTTTAATTTAGAAGGCACTATTTTGGCAGGCTGGCACAAAAATTAACCAATCCTAAAAATAAACAAACAAACAAATAAATAAAATATATTTTTCATTCCTAACACAAAAAATAAAATCAGTTTTATAAGATGAATTGTTACACTTAACATCCTAATATTTTAGCCACAAGCATAAGCCTTTAAACAAATATTAAATTTTCTAAAAATGTTCACATTTTTAATCTCTCGTTACACTGCAATTTTTTTTTAAAATGAGATCTGAACTGAAAAATTGTTTATTATTTCTCCTCACTATAAAAAAAAAGTGAAGAGGAACAGAAAGTGTCACACTACTAATTTCCATGCTTCTACTGAAAAATATACTTGATCCAGTAATGTAATACATTTTATAGTCAGAATTAAAAAGATTGAAAAAGCTTTAATTGCTTCACTTTCCTAAAAAGAACCCGAAAATTTCTAACAAATAGTAGCTCGCATTAGTCACTGAAATTCTGAAAACTTTTCGTACGGGTACAGAGAATCATATTCCATAGTAATCATTTTCATACAAAGTTTCTGTTTATTCATTAAAAAAAACATCAAAACAGTGGTTTAAGAATTAAGTTACCAGCAAACTGAAAGGAAAAATGCAAATATCCAAGTAGATGTTTGCTTCCACAGATTTCACAAATGTTTGTAGATCACTAGTAAACATTATGAAAAACACTTTTACTTACATATTACAAGCATGTGGACAGCCTTGACCTGGTTTTTTTTTTCTACAAAGCTCTCCACAGCTGTGTGGAATTTCATTTCTATTCCATTCAGGATTGTTTACCCTACCTTAAAAAAAATCAGATATAAAACATTTGTAAAATTCAGTACTGTACAATAAAGAAAGATAAGGTAAAGATATTGAGAGTGATGAGGGAGGTAAAATCATGAATTTTGAGGTATCACATTTAGTTAGGTGACATTCTAAGCTCCTTTAGAAAATCAAAGACTTTTCCAAGATGAGCTTATTTTAAGAAGAAGTGGCAGCTGAATTAAGCTGCTTAGAAATGTAGTGTAAGTCTCAAAGATATGAATCACTGGTCAGAGTACGGGTGAGATATCCAAAAAGTATGCAGTTAATGCATTTATCCAACCACTCTGTAATTTTTTGTGCAGCATCCTATATATGGCAAAATAGAAAGCTAGGCCCTGGATCTGCACAGGAAAGTTGCACCTGTTTAACTTATGCTGTAATTAAAACTAGTGTACCAGTTTAAGTTACAGTTTGGTCATTTATTTCCATTAAATTAAACCTGTTTCCAGTCAACATATGCTAAAATAATAAAGTCATTCTTATACCAAAATAAGAGTGTACAAACAGGAATATGCACTGGTTTAACTATGTTGGGTTAAATTTACGTTAAAAAAGTTGCACTAATATGTGTAGAGACGGTACTATAATAGATGTAATTACCTCCACCTTGAACAAGGTATGCTAGTAATTTTCTAGATTTTTTTCCCTACTAAATGTCTTATCAATCCTGATATAACATTACTAAAAGAAGGTTTTATTTTAACATTAAACTAAATACTTGTTATATAATTTTATACAGGAACGAAACATAAGTCAGGAGGTGATCTTCCAATATCATTAACAAAGTAGCTATAAGAGCTTTTGGGGATCTAAGGAAAGATTCAACAATATTGGAAGGAATACCAATTGTAAATATGAAATACACTCACCACAAAAACAGGTGTAAGTTGCAGGAACGCGCGTTGAAACATTTTGACAAGCAGGACATCTCCAGCCACTATTGCCATCTGTAAATAAATGAATATACAAGAACTTAAAGTATGTTACTTCCCTTCCTATATATTCAGTGGTTGTTTGTGGCTGTTTGCTGTGTCATTTTATTAATTTACCCTTCTATGTTTCGCACTACTTGTCGAATTAGGAGTGGATATCCAAGAAATGGTATAAGCCTGAGTGAATGTCTTTTACTCTCTTTTCCAGTGTCATTAAATATTTAATTAACATTTGCAAGGAGAGCATAACTATTTCTAGTTGACTCAGATTTGTTTAACACCTTAGAGCTAAACTGTGTGTGGATAATATGCATGCAAGAGGGATAGTTTTGTTAACTGCAAAAGTCAGTAACATGATAATGTTTTGGCAGATGCTTCATTTTTTGAGAGCTACTTTAGTAGAGATTCTGAAGATGTAGTGGTCTATGGGAATAGGTTGTTAAAATAGGGCTCTGCTGCATATTTTTTATGCTTTTACTTAATGGCCATATCTTGGATTTATTTATATAGCTGTTTTTAGTATGTTCCATTTGGTATGGAGTTCTTAGAAAGGATAATAAAATACATGTAGTCCAAGGGTAATGTTAATTTTCATTTGATTGCTCCTTGTTAATTACCACTTGTTTTAATGTTTTTCATAGTCTATACCTACAAACTGTTTTAAATATATATTCATATCTAGGATTGTTTGTACTGGAGGTGCACATCACCTCAATATTGGTGTTCCACATTAAGAAAATTTAACCTACCCCCAAAAAATTCAACCTCTCCAAGGATGGAAAATGTTAGAAGGAACACTGCTTGGGTTTTCCCTGCATGAAATCTTAAGCAGATCAGAGATGACAGATCAGGGCCCAATGGCCTTCTGATACTATCCCGTCAGCCTTTTGATCGTACAGTTTTAGAGGAACAATAAGCTTTTGATGTAGCCTTCTTCTTCCCAAACATCATGGTAATTACCATAAGGTAATTTATCCATTAAACAATTTACCACAAACTTTAAAGACACATATAAACAAGTCCTTTTATTATCATAGTCATAGCTAAACATGCACAATTAGTACTACCTCTAGATTCTAGCAATATAGTTTGCATTTCAAAGTTCTAGCCTGATTAGTATTGAATTATTCTAATTACCAGGGCTTGACAAACCACTGAATCTACTCACCCATGGCAGTAGATTTCAGCTGGTTGCTCTGAGCGCCCCATTCACCGGCGCTTCGTGCATGCACAGTCCCGGTCTGGCGCACGCGCAGTGTGGGGCCGGCAGGTGGCTCTCGCCAGGGTTTGTCAAGCCCTGCTAATTACCATTACAAACTTTTCTGTCTTTTAAAGCTTTTCTCTGGTCATTTGGCCTGGGATCTGCTTAACCCTTTTCTGGCCATGTGTCACTCTGGGTACAAGATTTGATGCAATTATATAACAGTGGTACTAACAATGGTTGTTATGGTAATATTATAAAAAGATAATGTCACATTTCCCCTTGCATACATTCCCATTTATCCTCATTAACTCCTTGCCTCCCAGGAAACACTTGTCTGTCTAATCCCCTCCCCACCCCCAAAGACACACAAAATACTAGGATTACATTCCCCCTCAAAAAAAATGCCACCCATGACTTCCAAGTTGTAGCAATATCTGGACACGCCATTCAAAACCCCTTTTGTTTTAGATAAGAGCTTGCGATTAATTTAACCTTAGTATAGTTAAATGAAGAGTTCAGAGCCATCAATGATGATTTCAGCCGTCAAATTCAACAAGTCATGCAACTCTGCCAGTGATTAGTAAGGTTGTGTGTCATGGATTCCATGACTTTTTGTGACCTCCATATCTTCTGCAGCAGTCAGTGTAGTTGGCTA